GTGTTACATTTGGATATATGAACATTTGTGTGTTGGTATCTACACGTGTCTAGGTATGTGTTTCATATCACTTTCCTGAGCAGGGTGTGGGAACACCAGACCTTGAGCAGAGACCCACTTCCCCTTCTGCCTGGGAGTAGGCAGCTTTAAGACAATGTTTAGTAAAAACATGTTTACTAAAAACGATACAATAAGTTCCTGGAAAAGGCCTTCCCATGGAAACCACCCTGACCTCGACCTTGCCCAAAGACTAACCGCACCTTCAAAACCCACACACATCCACCTCTGGGGTCAGAGCAGAACCAGCCAGGATAGAGGAGAGAGCAGAAGCTTCTCTGGTGGGAGCTTTTCTTAGGAGGTTTTCTTGAACCTTTTTGGAGCCTGTTTAAAGTTTTCTTTATATCGTTGAACGAGTCTCTGTGTTGTCAATCCCCGACACCCTCCGCATGTTCTCGGACACAGGCCGCGCAGCAGACGTGACACAGGGCATTAGTATATGTATAATCCTTCTTTATTTGAGACTTTCGTACATGTTCATTAGGTTTTGTGATTTTATTTATGCCCATAACCCTCTAATGCCCATTTCCTTCCCCCCTCTGAACCCCTACTTCTTCATGATTAGTTCCCTAGTGGTGGCACCATTGAAGAAAATGTACAACACCCATTAATAACAACTAACTCCTCAGGAAAGGGTGAGACTTGGTGAGTACCTCCTCTTTCCTTGATGGAATGTTGAAGGGACCAATCCTGTGCATGTGTTCATTGCTGCTTTGTGCTCTTGATTGCAATATAGTGTTGTATTTGGATGGCAACATTTCATGGCACACTCAGTACCTTCCAGTGAAGGTATACTATTTGCCCTCATTTCTATGATGTTCCAGAAGCTACTACAAATGAGGTATTCTCTGCAAGCACCAGTTAATCCCTGTTCTAACCTTAGCCTTCATTAGGCTGAAAATAGTTTTTCTCCATATATATAGATGTTCAAAACTCCAGTATTCAGTCAGCAGGGTCGATGCCAAACTGACATCCTTCTGAAACCCTAGATCCACATATAGAATTCCAAGCTTTGTTTTAGCTTTGTTTCTTCTTTCTTACTCTCAAGACGTCTGTTTCTCTCATTCTAAAGTACATACTTTAGTTTTTTCATTATATTTTATTGTTTTGCATTTTCTTTTAAGTTCTATATCTCTTACCTGTGCTTCAAAGTGTCTCTTAGAAATTTGTAAAACATATTTTGACTTATTAGCACCTCAAATAAATTATTACTTTGAAAATATTCTTAATAATTAAGGAACTGGAACATGCAATCTGCACTTACCAGTCTTACTACTTATATTGTTGCCATGAGTTTTGGTTTTCTGTATATTTTAGATTCTGAAAAATATTACTATTAATATTTTATATGGTAAACATTTGGATATTTATCCTGAATTTATACTTTCCAGGGTTTCATTTCCTCTTGCACCTCCATGATTACCTTTGGGATCATTTTCCTTCATCATGAAGAATAGATTTTAATATATATTATTATTATTTCATTTTAAATTCAACATTAATACAGGCTTATTAGAACCAATTCCCTTAGCTTTCCTTTGTCAAAAAGCATGCAGATTTCACCTTTATCATTGGAAGTTTTTGGTTTTATTTGACATAGATGTTTAGGCCTGCAACTAACTTTCTTTAACATTTTGAGATTTTTTTCCCACTGTCTTCTGGCATATAGTGTTTCTATTGAGAAGTCAACTCTCATCTGAGTATTGTACTTCTAGAACTGACACACTGTTTCATTTGTTATCTTGTAGTTTGTTTTAGATATTTAGAAAACGCATTGTTATATTCCTAGTCTGTGTCTTTTTTAATTGATCTCGATAGTTTAAATTTTATGTCTTTATTAATTCATGTCTTTCATAAATTCTGGAAAATTCCTCTGGTTTTTGGCATATTGCTTTATTCTCATTTTCTTTAGTCTTGTCTTCAAAAATTACACCCTCACATATATTACAAAATTTGAGCATGTTGTATATTTCTCAATCCCATCCTCATTCTTTTTTATCCTTTTAATTTTGGCATTTTCTATCATTTCTACTTCCAGTTCATGGGACTTGTCTTGTGTATTGTCTTCTGTCACACCTTTGATTTTTTTTAATCCAGATATTTTATAATGGTAAAATACAGATTTAGTTCTTTCATATAAATTTCAGCTTCTTTCTAATTTTGCACCTATGCCTTTAGCTTACCAATCTTTTCATCTATTTTATTAAACAATGTGCTACTTATGTATGTGTCTGCTACTTTGAAATATATGGATTACATTCATAATTGTTTCTTTTTTCCTTTTTATTTTTAAATTTACATTTAAATTAGAAACAAGGTTCCCTCACATGTCAATTCCAGGTCCCTCCTCCTTTCCTTCCCCTCCTCCCACACCCTCCCACCAACCCTTCAAATATACCCTCATTTCTCCAGGGAGGGTGAGGCCCTCCATGGGGGTGTCCATAGTCTGTCATTTCATCCAGGGCAGGGCCTAGACCCTCCCCTGAGAGTCCAGGCTGATCTCTCATTGTTGGATGGGCACCCTATGTCCCTAGTAGCATTGTCTGTAATAGACAGAACCTGGAAGCAAACTAGATGCCCCTCAACCAAAGAATGAATGGAGAAAATGTGATACATTTACACAGTGGAGTATTACTCAGCAGAAAATAAAACAATGAAATATTGAAATTTGCAGGCAAATGGATGGAACTGGATATTAGACATAGAATAAAGGACTACCAGCCTACAATCCACAACACCAGAGAAGTTAGGAAACAAGGAGGACCCCAAGAGAAGAATTCATGGACCCCTGAAGAAGGGGAAGGGGACAAGAACTACTGAGAAAATTGGGAGCATGTCGCACCTGCTGAGCAGCCTGCATCAGAGAAACAGGAAGTCTGGCCAGGGTCTGTGATCCCCACAGGACCATAGGTGTGTGGGAAGGGGAGAGGATAAGAAGGGGAGGAGGGAGGAGAACAGAAGGATTGAGAAAGGAGAGGAATAGAGGAGAGCAAGAAAGGAGATGCCTTGATAGAGGGAGCTAGTACAGATTTGGAGAAAGGTCTGGCACAGGGGAAATGTTAGGTGATCCACAAGGATGACCCCAACTAAAAATCTAGCCAGTGGTGGAGAGGCAACCTTTGATGACCTTCCCCTATAATGAGATCAATGACTACCTTGGCTGCCATTCCTAGAGCCTTCATCCAGTAGCTGATCAAAGCAGAAACAGGCACCCATAGCTAAATGCTGAGCCATACTCCTGGAATTCAGTTGCAGAGAGGGAGGAGGGATGAGCAAAGGAGCCAAGACTGTGCTGGAGAAACCCACAGAAACAGTTGTTCTGACCTAGTGAGAGCATGGGGAACCAGCATTGGACTGAGCCAAGCCCTCTGAATGTGGGCACCAGCTAAGAGGACAGGGCAGGCTGTGGCACATCTAACAGTGGAGCCATTGTTTATCCCTAGAGCACAAATGGACTTTGGGAGCCCATTCCCTATGGAGGGAAACTATTGCAACCCAGATATGGCAAGGAGGCCCTGGGCTCTCCCCCAAATGATGTGATAGACTTTGATGATTCCCACATGGAGGGCCTCACTATCTCTTGTGGGTCGGTGGGGAGCATTGGAGGATGTGAGGGCAACTGATATGCAAGTAGGAGTGCTTCTAAAATAAAAGAAATATATTTTTAAAAAGAAAGAAAAGTGGTACGGTGAGACAGACTAGAGGTTTAGCACCTCAACACAGTTAGGCATTGAGTGGTGTTAAGGCTGGGTGAGAAATCTGTAAAGACTCGTTCTTTGCCTGGGTTCTCCCAATTCCGTTGGCACTGCCACCACAGATTTCAGGGGAGAGACTGAACTCTGTCTACTAAGTCCTGAAAAAGAGTAGGAATTACTTTGTCAATTGTAGATCGTAAACTTAGATCTTCAACATCATACTCTATGAACCTCCAAAATTTTGTCTTAAATGGAGACTTATTTGGCACTTCACGCTTTCAGCCCTCCGCATTTATCATTTTATCCCCCAATACAAAAGTAACCATTTTTTTCTTAATACCTTAGCAGGAGTCTCTGTCAAATTTTCAGGCTCCCCCCATGCATGGGTAGATGTCCTGTGTTTTTCAGGGCAATGTATCTCTGATCCTTAGGATCATATCAGTCCATCAGTCTTTAAGGGCTGTTTCTTTTGCTTTGTTTTTATGTTGAGTATCATCCTCCTTTAGGGGCATAAGGCCTATACTCCATGAAACTGTAGGATATTTCACCCTTCCCAAAGATTTTAGTCTTGTTCATTTGATTCTCATAATTCTAACAACTCAACAGATGTCTTGTGTAGAGGAAAGTCTTTTATTTACACCCTATAAGTCTTTTAAGATTCTTTTGCATAAGAATATTTGCTACTACATTTTATTGTTTTCAATCTTTTTTACATTACATAACAACCCCAACTCCTCCTCCCTCCCCTCCTCTCACTTCTCCCACCTTCCTCCAACCCATTCCCCATACACTCCTCAGAGAGGGTGAGGCCTTCCATAGGGAATCAACAAAGTCTGTCACATCACATTAAGGCAGGACCAAGCCCCCCCATAACTAGACTGAGCAAGGTATCCCACCATATTGAATGGGCTCCCAAAAGTTGGTCTTTACTCATGATAAATCCTTGTCCCACTGCCACTGGCCTCATAAACTGCCAAGGCACACAGCTGTCACCCACATTCAGATGGCCTGGTTTATCCTATGCAGATTCCCCAGCTCCCCAGCTGTCAGTTCAGAGTCAGTGAGCTCCCACTTGGTCAGGTCAGCTGTTTTGTGGGTCTCCCCATCATGTTCTTGATCCCTTTGCTCATATTATTGTTCCTCCCTCTCTTTGACTGGACTCTGGGAACTTGGCCCAGTGCTTAGCTGTGGATCTTTTCTTCCATCAGTCCCTGCATGAAGGTTCTATGATGACAGTTAGGGTGATCACCAATCTTATTAAGGGGAAGGCCAATTCAGGCAGCAGCCTCCCCACACTCCCAACCATACCCCACTGAATCAGCCACCGCTGGAGCCTTGGTCCCACCTGCACCTGGAGGGGATGAGTGTCTGGGCTTCTAGCTAGATGGCTTTGTACTCTGGACTGTAGTTCCTGGTGGCACATCCCAAGGCCCACCACCATCCACCAAAGCTCCAAAGACCTCACATCAGCCTCCCCACAGTCCCAACCACACACCCCTGCATCAGCAACCACCAGAACCGTGGCCCCACCTGTACCTGGAGGAGGTAAGTGTCTGGGCTCCTGGCTGTACAGCCCTGTTCTCTTAAGTTGATTTTTTAAAGTTAATATACAAAGTTGTTGCTGGGTCCTAATGGCTCCCTCAGGAGAAGGGGTGAGAAGGCACAAAGTCAACAATACAGACCTCAGGAGTCAGGTGAAAGGAAAAATACACTCATTCATTTAGCAATGGGTAGAAACTTATATACCCTCCCAGCACCCAGGCATTCTGATCCGTTGACATTGCATAGTCACCACTCAGTGGCTCAGCATGATCAGGACCTCTGACAGTTCCTGTGTTAGGATCACAGGCAGGATCACATGGTAGCTCTTCATTGGCTGGGCAAGATCAGCACCACTGACAATAACTGTCAAGCTCCACAATGGTTAATCTTTCTGACTAACAGGCTACACAAAGGAACAGTTTTCATTATGGCATTGTCATATATGCTTTGTTCTTATTTGTCCCCCATCTTCATTCCACATCCTTGTCCCCCTGTTTTCTCTTGCTGAAAATAGTCAAACAATCCTAAGTGAAATGCAATGGTGGAAGTATCACAACTCCGGATCTCAAATTATACTACAGAGACATAGTAATAAAACTGTATGGTACTGATGGGAAAACAAACATATAGAGAAACAGTGTCATAGAAGAAGAGACCCATATATGAGGCCTGGAACTGCTTAGAATGCACTTTGTTTCTCTTCCACCTGCAGCGATGACATGGCTATGCCAAGCTATGGTTTTCAACCTTCAGCCTGTAGTTGCAATCAGCATGTACTACAGGGAAATGTTAGCTATCTACTTCTTTCAAATCCCCACCCTCTGACAACTTGGTCTCTAGCTCTTATTGCTTCCACAGTTTTCTGATACATTGTTAATTATAATATCTTCTTGTAAAGGTGTTAGGTTCTATTTTTATGAATATTAATATTATTCTGTTACCTCTCTTGTAGGACCAGACTCAAATCTGCTTTACCTATATCATACATGTGGGTTCATGGCAAGAGAAAATTCTGTTCAGACTTATCATTATAGTCATTTCTAGCATTAGTAAATAATTTTGTGAAGTTTTAAGATGGATATTTTACTGTGAGTGCTTAATGTAATATTTAATTCATCTGACTTGTATACTAAAATCATGAATGGGGAAAGAAGCCTTAAAAATCATTTTCTAAATAGAAACAGTAATACTCATAGGCTAACTGTCCAATGTTCTCAAACAATTGTTGATGAAATTAGGATTCTTAGTTTAGACTACCAAGGTCTACTAGGTCTTCTGGTATGATTTCAGTATGTGGGAGGTCAGTCTTTCTCCCTGATATTGTCTATTTAATTTTCCCCCAAACAGAATAAATTCCCAAACTATATGAATCAAATTTAGTACTGGCTTCATATTGCTACTCTTGTTTTGGTCTTGAAAATATATTGGTTTGACATGTTGGTAACATCTACAACCAAAGTGTATGTGTAACAAAATTCTAATGAAAATTCACTGAGCATTTAGAAAATGGACCCAACATGTGGCATTGCCTACTGAGTTTCTGCTCATGCTGGTTTCTGATGGTTTGTAGAATATTGTGTTAGTTTTTTAGGGCTAATGAGTTTGGGTTAATTTCTTTACCCCTCTCAGCCAAGTCTTTCCACAACATGGCTTCTCCCATGGGGTCTTTGCTAATAAATACTTTAATTGACCTGCTTTATTAAAATGAGTGTCTATATGATCATCTAGACACCCCACAGATGTGAAGAGAGATTATGAGTTCAAATGAGATGGGGGTAGGAAAAACCAGGTTTGATCCTGATTCTGCATTGCCACAAAACCTGATAATAAAGGAATTCAAGCTAACATAAAATTAGTAAACTGAGTGAAATGAAGCTAAATACTTGAGAAGTTTACTTTCATCAAATCATCACTATATATTAAGCATTGAAGAAGAAAATTGTTCCAAACACAAGAAGTAGAAAGCCATTGACTTTATATTGCTTTCACCTGTTCTTCAAATTCACCCTTCACTAATTTTGTTCACCCAGGTAGATGATGGTTTTGCTTGTCATTCTTATAAATCAATCTACTATATAAATGGACTAAAATACAGTAAAATTAAAGTTTTCATGTCCATATAGAAAAGAATATCCCTGATTTCTTATGTTTTCCCCAAGCAGCTACAACTATTTATATTCCATTTACTTTTGCATAGACATAAATTTTAAGGGTTTTTTGTGATTTTAATGCAATGACATTATTTTTTCCCTCTATTTTCTTTTTCCAAAACAGCCCAAATACCCTCTTTACTCTCATTCAAATCCATGGCCTCTTTTTCCACTAGTTAATGATGTGTGTGTGTGTGTTGTTACACACATATGTATGTATATATAATATATGATATATATTCCTAAATATGTAAATACAACCTGCTGAATCTGTATAATGTAATTTCAGAAATTTATAGGAGACAAATCACATAGCAAATTCCCTGATCCTCTCGCTCTTACAATCTGTCTGCCCCTTCTTCCTTAATGTACCCAGAGCATTGGTGCAAGAGTTGTTATGCAGATGTATCCATTGGGCCTTGGCTTCACAACTCTTCATTTTGATTGGTTATGGTTTTCTGTAACAGTCTCCATCTATTGCAAAGAAAAGTTTCCTTGATGAGGTGAGGACTTCACTTTCCTGTGGTATAAAGATATTCAGTGTGTAGGATTATAGTGGCTTAGTAAGGTAGCAGTAGTAGTTTTATTCCCCAAGATCCATGAGTTCAATAACTCTGAACACTTAGCTAGGTTTCCAGTACCAGGTATAATTTTGCTTCATTCAGGCAAGTGTTAAGTTCAATTAGAGAGGGATTGGTTACTGCCAAAGGATGTGCACCGCCACTGATTACATCCTTAGGGTTACTGTGCCATGATGGTCAATCCTTTTATACTTTATATTCTTTTTCTTATGCATGGGATCCAGCACTTTACCCATGCTAAGTATATGCTCTATCTCTGAGATGTATCTGGAGTCCCCGTTTTTGTTATTTACATTTTATTTTGTGGTTCGTGCTACTTCTTTGATAATTTAAAACAATGCATTTTGAGCATATTCACTCCCCAACTCCCCTAAGATCCCCCCTTTTATAGCTACCCAACTTTGTGTTATTTCTTTTTTTTAACTATCAAGTTCAATTTTTACCACTCCTGTATTCCTGGATGTGTGTCCTTCCACTGGAGTGTTTTGTTTTTCCTAAATAGCTTCGTTGGTACAGCTCCATGTAAGCTGTAATATACTACCTAGCCAACGGAACTTTTCAAAAGAGCAAGATTTTCTCACAAACAATTTCTAGTTATCACACTAATAAAAGCTCTTTTTAACATATCAACTCTATATGTCATTAAAACACAAATAGCATGTAAATGTTCTTATTAGGATTCTGCATTTGACTGAAACCTCATAGTAACCACCTCTATCAAATAGTTTATAATGTAAGAGGACACAATGATCTTTTAATGTTAATATCCTTCTCTATTCTTAGACCTAAAGCAAGTTCATCCTTATAGCATGAAAAAAAGCAACTGAAAACTCTCAATTTAAATGGCACCATACTTGGTGGAGAAGAAAGACAGAATGGTGAAGAAGATAACAATGTTGTTGATGTGAAAAGATGAGGGAGGACAAATGAATGAGATTATTAATGTTAAAGGAAGATGAATAAGAAAGATATGAAATTACTGCTTTGATGTCAGTCAAGACAACACTCTTGCTTTAAAGGTACAGAACAGACTTTAAAGTGGTTCAGTTGGGGGTACACAATTGATGTCAATGACAGATTGTGAAGATGGTATCTCTTAGCATAATGTTGTGTCAACCTGAGCACTCACTGTAACTTCTCTAAAATGAAATGTGTACTGCTACATAGTAATGTCATCACTAGTTTTTGTGTCTATGAGTGACAGCTACATGCGTGTCTGGTATTTGTGAATATCAGAATAGGGTGTCAGCTCCACTGTAATTACAGTTAAGTATTGTTGAGTCACCATGTATGTTAGGAACTGAACCGAGGTCCTCTGCTGGTGCCAATACAGGGGCTGTTCTTGTCTCTAAATATTACTACTTTAACTAGTTGCTGATTAATATATACTAAAATGCCTATAAAATTTAAAATTAAACATTTAAGACATTTACAGTGATGAAGTATACATTCAGTTTGATGTAAATGCACATTATAACTAGCCAGGGTCTAGCAGTCGGACACATGTACCTGTCTTAGTGTTGTATTGCTGTGAAGAGATGCCATAACCAAAGAATCTCTAAAAAAAGAAAACATTTATTGGGGGCTTACTTAGAGGATAGTCCATGATCATCATGGCAGAAAGCAAGGAGGCAGGCAGGCATGGCATAGCACTGGAGCATAAGATAAGAGCTTTACATACTGGTCTATATTCAGCAAGCAGAACAAGAGACTTGAAATGCGCTTTTGAAACCTCAAAACCAATACCCAGTGACACACTTCTCCAGTAAGCCACACCTTCTAATGCTTCCCAAACAGTTCTACTAACTGGGAGCCAAGCGTGCAAACACAGGAGCCCATGAGAACCATTTTCATTAAACCCACCATAATTTGCTTTCCAAATTCTTTAACTCTTAGAATGAACATCATTCTTATATTTTTACTTAATTACCATACAAAATCACAAGTATTCCTATGTAATTTCTAATGTAAATTTAGTTTGGATTGATTCCTCATCTCCTCCTAGTTTGTTTGGCCCCAATGGACCCTTCCATCCATTCTGCCTTTATAATAATGTGTTATACAACCTTTCCCACCTATGTCTTTTAAAGTCTCTTTTTGTTCCACATCATGGAATCCTGTCTTAGATTCCCATCATGATCTATTCTTAATTTGGGGGTAACACTCATAAGCACTGCCAATGCTTCAGTTATAACTTTCCTTTCTCCTGAATTCTTAGGGTCTTTTTCTGCCATTTGAAAATATTTGGGAATATTTTAGTTAGTCTTAGAATTTAATTCTCAAATGTGGGTGAACCAGACATACTTCTCTGCCTGAAGTTTCTTTGGAATCCAGGAAAAGTTTCTTTGTAATTCCTTCTCAAGTGCCCTTTGTGTAGAAAAGCACTGTAAAAGTCTAGGGGCCTTTCTCCTTCTTTATGTGCAATAGTGGACTATTGATTGACACATACATGCCTGAATGACTACACAACCCTTTCTAAAATTAAAGGATATTTGCCTGGTAGTGATTTTCTGTCTTTATGGAGTTGTAGTTGGCCAAGGATAGATGGTAAATTTCTTTCAGTCATATATACATGCATACATCTCTTTCATGTGTTCTATTGCCTCCAATGTTTACAAATCAATACATATTTGTTGTAAACATACTCTGCTAAGAATTTTCTCAGACCGCAAACAGAGTATTGAAGACAGTAAAAAGTTGTCTATATTCAAGAAACAACAATTCAGATGTGAATGTTGGGTGGAGGGCAGGCACATTTTATTCCCATCACTGCTTTGAGGATGGTGTTTGTTTTCTATGTGGTTTCAAATGACAGTACAGGGATTTTGCTACTGAACTGCTTCATACCCAGGAAGCATGTATTTCCAAACTGACATGATATATGCAATCAACTTTATCTTCTCTCCTCTTCATCATCAATCAATAAAGTGCTGGATATAAATATCACCTCTATTAAAATACTTGAGCAACAAGGAGAATACAGTACAATAACAGGAAATATCCAGTCCAAAGCTGGTAAACACTGCTCTGAACTTAACTTTGACATAAAGTAAAAATGATCCATGGCTCATGGGGTAAGCCTTTCATTTGTAATATATGAGGTATTTCTTATTTCAGAAACTTCTGGATAAGAATACTAATTTCTAACACCATGGGCAACTGTAGAAATTTATGCGCAAGGAATTGGCAATAGGGTGGGAGGATGGGGGGATGGTGGGGTGCGGGAGGAGGGGAGGGAGAGGGAACTGGGATTGACATGTAAAACAAGCTATTTAAAAAAAAGAAATTACAGTTATAACTTAGATTGCCTTCAGTAAACGGACATTTTAGAATCAAGTCTAGAAAAGGGAACAGAATTCAAGTAGAAGAATCTTCCAGAATCTCTTCCTTGAGTTTGGCTACATCAGTGCACATGATGTTGAGGGAGTGTATGTTTTTAAAACATCTTCACAAAGATGTGCAAAATAATGCTGCTGTTGGTTTCCTGCTTTTTTTTGACATAGTCTATAATGGCATATATTTGATTAATTTTATCATACTTAACCCTAGAACAATTTTAATTGTTATATATTTTAAGAAAAACTGTCTTAGAGAAATGTTTTAACGGATGTGCTGTTAATCTTAGTAGTGTCTGCTACTCAGGAAGAACTTGGGTTTTTAAATTATTTTTATATGACTATTTATTTTTCCTAGAGGTAAAATGTATAGGGCAAATACTTACACATTCTAATTTGGATGCTTTTTTATATAATTTCAAAAGTTGCATTTGGGACAGAGGACATGTCTTAGATGATTAAGTGCTTGCCACACTAAAATGAGGGCCTTAATTTGGATCCACAGCATTCATGGAAAAAGCAGAAACGAGCACACACCTGCAAAACCAGCGTTGAGACAAGAGTGGAGACAGGAGGATTCCCAAAGTTCATGTGCCAACTGGGCTAGAGAAAACTGTGAATTCTAGGTCTAATGAGAGACCTAATCTCAAAAAGTAAGAAAGAATGATTGAGGAGAAATCTGATGTAAGCCTCTGGCCTATACACACAAATATACATTCACCCCCATCCTGACACATACACTCGCACACAAACACAGACATAGAATTGGATGTCAAAGAACAACTTTGGGTGTCATGCCTCAGGCACAGTTCACCTTTCTGTGAGATCAGTCCTGAAACATGTCTGTACAAGTAACACCATAAGATATAAGCAGGTTTTATTTATATATTTAGGAATATATATATGCAAAAGAACAATTAGAGAAAAGAGGCCATTAACTTGACAGACCAAGGAGAGATACATGGCATGTGTATAACCGGGATATTTCTATAAGCCACCCTTGAGCAAATTATACCTTAGGATGACTTTAAACTTCTGGTCCTCCTTCCTTCACCTCCAATGTTCTGGGATTGCAGATATGCACCACCACCCTACTCAATTTATAACATGCTGAGGATCAAACCCAGTGCCTCTACATGCTAAGCAAACGCTCTATCAACTAAGCCATACCTGCATCCCTGTTTTGTTAAAATGAAAACTGCAGCATGCATTTTATAGTTCAAAATTGCATTGAGCACTCAGTACCAGTGGCAAGAGTCATTGGTTATGTGGCCAGGATCAGACTGTTTGAGGATGTGATGGTTAATATTGATTGTTGACTTGGCATGTTTAGAATCACCCAGGAGACAAGTCTCTATTCGTGATGGTTAGAGATTAGCTAGACTAGGTTAAATGAAGATGAGGAAGACTCAGTCTAAGTATAGACAGTACAGGAGTCCCAGATTATATAGAAAGAAGAAAAAGGGAACTAGTATCACTCATTCACCACTCTGTTGAAAATGGATGAAATGTAAGCCTTACACTTCGGCTGACAAGTCATCCAGACCAAGATGAACTCTATACAAAAGCAAAAATAAACCCTTGCTTTCTTAATTTCCTTTGGTCAGATCCATGGTTGCAGCAACTGACAAAGTAACCCAAGTAGAAGAGAATGATTAGTTGGTGACATATTGCAGGTCTCTATGAAATTCAAGATAAGAAATAGAATTTGAACTGTGCTGAATTATCTCTTAATATAATCCAGCAGCATGGAAACTTGCCTAGTCAGAAAGAAATACCTTAATGTTCATTTTAATTCAATACATAAATAAATCAACTTTCCAATATGATTCATGCTACCCAGAGTATTCCATATCAGCTGCTTATCATGATCCATTAAATGGACTTCCCCACATACTAAAAGGTGATAGAATTTGCTTTGAAAGCACTGTCTCAAGTAAAGAGTGAGTGCCTTTAAATGATTCTTTTCCATGAGCAAAGACTTGGAATGTGTGTGTGAGGGAATGAAATCTAATCACCACTCCTTGTCCAATCACTTGTACAACAAGGAACTGGACTGTCTGCTTCAAATGAAAACTAAACCCTGGGCAGCCAGGCAAGATCAGTCATTCAGAGCACCAACGACATGTCATTGGTTTGTTAGTTCATTTATTAATTGGGAATGAGCCATTCTGTGGCTTTTACTGCCCGTTTTACACAGGTGCCTCACACTGGTTCATCAGCTACATTGTCTGATCATCCACAGGAGGCTAATTTAAATGGCTATTCTATTCGTGATTAAGCCATAAGCTGATGGAACCAGTGGCTGTTAGTTTAAATTTCCCCTCCAAAAGGTTTGTCCTAAGTATTTACATACAGAGAGATAGATGCTCAAGATAATGATAAACACACTTGGTACTTCTTCCAATGAATACAATTATGGAGAATGATCAGACTGCATTAGTTAAATTGCACATTTTGTCACAAAGAAATGTAGAGAATTGAATGAACACTTGGAGTCCGCTAGAACAACAGACTCATAGGGCTTTTGCTTACATCTTGCATCTTTGCAAAAATAGAATTAATTCATCAATAACTTCATACTCAATCACCTTTAGATCACGAATCCATGAATCAAAGCTGCCTCATCATTTAAAGTTAATTGCTTTCTAACCAAGGCACCCTAATGTAGACATTAATTAGCA